ATTTGCTGACAATAGCGACATTATTCTTGCAGCCATCTTGTACAACAATAAAACAAAAATACTGGATCGAACTATACCCTTATACTTGTCAATAATACGCTCGTCATTCAAATAAAAAAAAAATCACCAAGTTGTACCTTCTCCAGTAGCTTTCCAGTGAATAGGTTCGTAGGCACTTGAACGGGAGTATGGGGGGCGGGGGGAGGGCATTGAATAACAATCGAAACCAACCTCAAAAAATTTGGAAAAATTTGTTTAAAAAAATGGCGGATTTCAAATATTTACAAACCAAACTTAGCTGACTTGGGCTTATTTCCTTATATTTCTCACGTATCCAGAATGAAAATATGAAAAAAATCCAGAAATAAATTCCATTGATGCAATAATTTGAGATGTTTAAATTGATGAAATAATTTATGATATTATATTTTTCAATATTTCAAATCGCCAGTCGAAATGTATAAAAATTTTATCAATCTGCAACTTTCAAAAAGTATTCCCAAAAACACTGGCGTTGCGATATAGGATGACACAAAATTGAGGTTAGGTTTCGAATGTCTGAACGAATTAAATGCATTTCAATATTTAAGTACACAATTTGTGGATGAATACCAGTAAAAAGAATAATCAACAACGAATTTCAACAATAATTGCACAATCAACAACATAATTCAATATATTTTTTAAAAAACATGGAATAAATCGAACGTTTCAATCGTTCAATTGTACCGCGCTTCTTTACCTTAAAAAAACGTAGTGGTAAAACAGTGATGTGTAGGTAATGTGTAATATCAATGAAATAACAGGAAAGGAAAAATTGAATAAACAGTTATGACTATCATAAGAGGGTAGATTTACGGATTACATAAGTAGCAGCCATTATTCACATGGATATCAGAGGAACTTCAACTTAAACGATCTAAGTGTGATCGGTATCGATAACCACCCTATATATATTATGATACTACACTTTTTCAAACAGTGCATCAAAATCACACGCAAATCTATACGGGTGGGGGGGGGGCGTCCTTAAAATATTGTAAAAAAAATTCGATCGAAAAATCGAGTGTGGAAAATCTGATTTGAGAGAGAAAAAAATATGGCATTTCCATTTGTCGTTCTCTTCAGGGTACCAACGTAAAATGATGAAAATATTATGTTGGTAACAAAAAAATGGATAGAAATGAAGAAGACTATTCTAACCTTTTAAATTGAGGTTTGAATGCTTTTCTCTCTATTTCTTCAACTCATTTGTGTTACCAACATGAAATTTTAATTTTTTTACGCTGCAATCCTGAAGATGTGGACAGAATCTGAACTCTTCTATTCAGAATGCTCCAGTTTATCTAAGAATGTTTCAATTCCATATAAAATTTAAAAAAACAGAAATCTCTAAATGGTTGAATGATATGTTGATTAAATTTAGAAAAAGTTCATTTCCCTGAAGTTCTGGGATTTTATTTCCTCGTATCTGGAAATGAAAAGTCTTTGTACCAAAATGTTGAGAATTCCAGTAAAAGAAACTTGAAGGAGAATTTTTCGCTAATAATCTGAAAATGTTCGGAGTAGTGAAAATATAGGTAGGTAAATTGAAAAATATTCGATTTTTTACTAATATTTGATTAGCTGGACGTTCACAGAAAGAATCTACTCTCATTTTAAAAAAAATCTTCCCCACAAATTGCCTCTTTAAGGGTCAGGTGACATAAACAGAGACAATTCGCCAAAAAGATTTTTTTATGTTAAAAATGGAGTAGATTCATTCTCGAAACGTCCAGCCTAGGTAACTTGGATAAAAATCTGATATTTTTCAATATACCTGCCTATATCAACAGTTCTTCAAAAACCTTCGAATAATGTGTTACTGAATTATTAGAGAGAAATGCTTTTTTCCGGTTTTTAATAGTGATTCATGATTATAGACAAATCATCTAATCTGCATCACTGCACATAAAGTGACTCATACATTCCTTCAGTAAAAATAAGCATTTTTTTATGGCAAATTCCTGAACCATGTTAAATTATTATTTTTGATTTCAATTACATAAAGGTGAGCTACCCTGTATATCGGATATCCATTGACAAATAGTAAACCCAAATGAAAAATCGACCTGTATCAGGGATTTTCCATAGTAATGTTGATTTTTATCTAATAATGAATTTATGCTTGACTTCAGGGACGCACTGTATACTGAAATGATATACAGGGTGATTCACCATAAATGTCCCCCCTCTAGCTCGGTTATTTTTAAACCGATTTCAAAATTTGAAATATCATCTTGAATGATTTTCGATAAAGTTTTTTTCCGCTACATCAGAAAATACAGGGTGCTCGTAACAAACGGTCTACAGGGTACTATTTGATGTTTTTATATGGAACACCCTATTTTTCATTGTATTTTTAGATTCTCCCTGATTTCGTCGATGTATCACACTTGGGGTCTAGCGGGAATGATTACAGAGATATAGGGTGTTCAAAATCGAGATTTTTCAACTTAAGGATTTTTTTGAGACGAAACTATTCATCATCGGTCAAAACGGCTTTCATGTCCATGTCTCAACTTTTGATTTACTATCTACTGACCATTAATAATTGGAACAGATACAGGGTGATCAGAATTCTGAATCTTGAACCACCCTGTAAATGTTCCAATTAAATGTCAGTAGACAGTAAATCAAAAGTTAAGATGGAAACATAGAAGCCGTTTCGACCAATAATGAATAGTTTCGAGACAAAAAAAATCCTAAATTTGAAAAATCTCGATTTTGAACACCCTATATCTCTGTAATCATTCCCGCTAGACCCCAAGTGTGATGCATTGATGAAATCAGCTCTTCAGGAAGAATCTAAAAATGCAATGAAATACAGGGTGTTCCATTTGAAAAAGTCAAGTAGTACTCTGTAGATCATTTGTTCCGAACACCCTGTATTTTCTGATGCAACGGGAAAAAAATTCTGAAAAATCATTTTAGATCATTTTTCAAATTTTTGAATAGGTTCAAAAATAAGCGAGCTAGAGGGGGGGACATTTATGGTGAATCACCCTGTACATATTTTCATTTATAGAAACGATGACACAAAATCAAACAATTTTAAGAAAAATGACCATTCCACCTCCTAGATTGATCAAGACAAAATGTGCTGATTTTGAGGAGCAATAAAATGAATGACATGTTTGAAATATAGGGAGAAACCCGAAATTTTCTTTCTTCACATCAATTTACGGCGTTTCGGTCGTCGAGACCATCCTCAGCTACTATTTCAACCTTGCCGATGGGTCTTGATGAGCAGAAACAGCACAAGAGAAAACTCGACATTTTCTACCCCAATCCCAAAATATTTCGAAAAAACAACGATATTTCCGGTCCTTGGACATCATTTTATTGCCCTCGAAAATAGCCAACTCTTGTCTAATTCCATCAATTTCCTATCATTCAAATGTTTGCAAAATGCCAATGGTAAGACATGAGAAATGCGGCCTCCGTATATCATTCGAAATATTCCACTGTTTGGCCAAAAAATAATCACGTCAAATCAATTAATTTTACGTATTTCCTTCATGGTGATTATTATTTTGACATGAGAAATGTACAAACAGTAAAAGAATGCCAAATTTTGAACGTCAACATTTGGAAAAACACACAAAATTGATGCATTCGTTATTTTTTCTCACCCGCTTTTCCATCGAATTCACAATCTTTATAAGGACGCACTGTATCAACAATAACAACAATTCCTATACAGTGTGTCCCACTAACCATGCTCACCATGGGTATCTTTTTAACGGTGAGAGATACGAGGTCGGTTAAATGACAGCAAATGTGGAGTTTGTCAAGGCCAACTATAATGTGAAAAAATATTTTGATGAAATCTATTCGTTTTTGTTTTATACGCAAAAAACTGATTTTGATCATTTTCATGTCTCTTCCGTAACTTCTTTATTTATGAAAATATTCAAATAGGAATTTCACATTCTCATGACAGTTTTTCAAAGTGATTTCGAAAAAAATATGAAATTTATACCAACTCTTCTAGAATTTGAGATATCAGCACCAACTTTAGTTTTTCAAATGTAGGTCATAGCTCACTATGACTTAGTTACAAATAACTTCTTTTTCTCTTACAGATGATATGTCGCAGTAATAGTTTTGTGTTGATAACAACGTAGTTATCGTCATTTATACAAAAACAAAAAATTATTTGGAGGCCACCATCTTGAATTTATAAATTGTAACAAGAAAATTCATGATCTCCGACCTCAAAAACCCCCACCTACCAATTTTGAATGGAATCGGACCAAATCTTGTCCGCCATCTTGGAGCAGCCATTTTTTTCAATTTCACAAAAATTCCATAATGTATTGTCACCGAAATTATGAACATCTGCCAAATTTCAAGTTAATCGGAGTTATAGAATTTTTGTTGAAATTAAAAAAATGGCTGCTCCAAGATGGCGGACAAGATTTGGTCCGATTTCATTCAAAATTGGTAAGTGGGGGTTTTTGAGGTCGGAGATCATGATTTGTTTGGCAAAATTTATAAATTCAAGATGGTGGCTCCCAAATAATTTTTTGTTTTTGTATAAATGACGATAACTCCATTGTTATCAACACAAAACTATTACTGCGACATATCAACTGAAAGAGAAAAAAAAGTTATTTGTAACTAAGTCATAGTGAGCTATGTCCTACATTTGAAAAACTAAAGTTGATGCTGATATTTCAAATTCTAGAAAAGTTGGTATAAATTTTATATTTTTTTCGAAATCACTCTGAAAAACTGCCATGAGAATGTGAAATTCATATTTGAATATTTTCATGAATAAAGAAGTTACGGAGGAGACATGAAAATGATCAAAATCTGTTTTTTGCGTATAAAACAAAAACGAATAGATTTTATCAAAATATTTTTTCACCTTATAGTTGGCCTTGACAACCTCCACATTTGGTGTCATTTAACCGACTTCGTATCTCTCACCGTTTAAAAGATACCCATGGTGTGGTGAGCATGGTAAGTGGGACACACTGTATAATTGGATAATCAAAAGTGTGCAACCATCTCCCTATAATGCATATTTCGACTTTTTCCAAAAAATAACCGGTAACGGAAAAAAGGAGGAACCAACTTCAACGACGAAAAATCTGAATAAAACACTCTTGGGGGACAAATAAATAAAAATCTTCAGGAAGCGTAATTCGTTTTGGAATTTCCCTGCACTGCAAAAGAGAGCTGCCTTCAATCAAATAGAGAGAGAGAGAGCTAAGAAACGATCTCTTTTCCTTCACTGTTTTTTTGTTTTGTTTTGTTTCGGAGAGGTCGGACGCAGCCGCCTCACCTACCTGACTTTGCACCTCTCGATCGCGCACTGCACCGCTTCTGTGATGTTCTCGAATACTGGCACCTGTTTCCTGACGGCCAGGTCTTTCAAATACACCCTGGCTCTGTTGTAGTCTTTCACCGCGTTTTTCGTTAGCTGGAAACGAAAACAAATTCTAGGTTCCTTCATCTTGTCCTTGTCAAAAAATCTAGAAGGCCATTCGAACCTTCATGTGAAAAAAGACTAATGCCGCAAAAATGAGAGGAAGACCGACCAGATAGATATTAGTGACATAAAATATGATATGAAAATCATTCTAAACTTTTGTATATTGAGGTTAGAATGGTTTCCCTCTCATGTTTTGTGTTTCTAACAAAATTTCTCATTATTTTCCATTGGAACTCTGAAATCAAGGACAGAGGGGACAGACATATCTATTTTTCAGAGTGAAATGGCATGAAATAAAAGAAATAAACAAAATGGACGAAATGAAACAAAAAATGAAAAATCGATGAAATCAAGAAAAATCAAATGAATGAACGGAATTAACAAAATGGATGATTGGATAAAATGAACAAATTGGATGAAATTACCGCAATGAACAAGATGAAGCTTAAAAATGAAAGGAGTGCAATGAAGAAAGGACTAAAATAAAATGAGCCAATGCACAAAAAAAAACAGAACGAAATAATCAAAATTAAAAGAAAAAAAGAAGTTTTTAATAAAAAGTTTTTATTTAAACGCTCTAAAAAGAAGAAAATAGATTTTTTTTTTCTTAATAATTTCAACTATTAACTTATAACCTCATTATACACACTATTTATATGATCATTAAAGTTTGTCGCGCGATTCATTTGTGTGAATGAACTAGTACTTATTTAATTATGTAAAATCTGCTTAGATAAAATTTTTAAAATTACAATTTAATTAAATAATATTGATCATCGCGACAAGCTTTTATGATCGTATAAATTGTGTATAATGAAGTTATAAGTTGATCAAGAAGAAAAAAACTAGGGGCTCAAAGTCGGTCGACCACACTTCATATAATAGTAGTAGCTAACATTTTACATATGTAACCGGTTTCGGCGCTACGGCCATCATCAGACAAATAATAAGTACCGAACAATACAATTTAAACAAACATCACTGGATAAGTAACAATCATGCCATGGGTTGAGACACGGGCAATAAGTTGAAAGGTTTAAATCTTTCAACTTATTGCCCGTGTCTCAACCCATGGCATGATTGTTACTTATCCAGTGATGTTTGTTTAAATTGTATTGTTCGGTACTTATTATTTGTCTGATGATGGCCGTATCGCCGAAACCGGTTACATATGTAAAATGTTAGCTACTACATATGAAGTGTGGTCGACCGACTTTGAGCCCCTAGTTTTTTTTTTTTCTTCTTGAAAATACTGTGGACCACTTTGAGAAAATGGATGATTTTCATGATTTATAAGTTGATAGTTAAAATTATCAAGAAAAATTTCATTTTCTTCTTTTTAGAGCGTTTAAGTAACAGCTTTTTATTAAAAAGTTTTTTTTTTTACTTCTAATTAATTTTTTGATTTTTAGTTATTGCTGGCTGGATTTTTCGGTTTACTCTCAACGAGCCTTTTCATTTGATACCCATATTGTAGAAGTATATTGAAAATTACCATTCCGCCATCTTGGATGGTCCGCCATAATGGATTTAGAATGACATCACATCATTTTTCGAGTTACTCTCAACGAGCCTTTTCATTTGATACCCATATTGTAGAAGTATATTAAAAATAGCTATTCCGCCATCTTGGATGGTCCGCCATATTGGATTTAAAATAACGTCACATTATTTTTCGAATTACTCTCAACGAGCCCTTTCATTTGATACCCATATTGTAGAAGTAGATTAAAAATGATCGTTCCGCCATCTGGGTGATCCGCCATATTCGATTTAGAATGACGTCACATAATTTTTCGAATTACTCTTAAGAGTCCATCACCGCAGTGGCATTTATACGTATAACACGGTCACGCAAATTCGAAATTTCTCGAAAACGGTTGAACATATCGATTTGAAACAAGTACAGGCCATTAGATCACACCTGAATCTATGTACGTCCTGTAATGGAATTTTGAATTTCCTCAAATTTTTTCCATTATGATTCGAAACATTCCACCAAAATCAAGCTACTTTGAGGCCGATTTTTGAAATTTGGGTAGGAAATTTCAAAAAAGCCTTACAGCACGTACGTAGATTGGACTTTTATCTTTCATTTGATACCATAATCATTGAAATTGGACGATGGATGCTTTTGAATCTATGTTGAATAAAAAAGCCCTGCAGCTTCCTAAATGACTTCAGAACGGCATTGGGAAGTGCTGCCACCGCGGTCATTTCAAGTATTAGATGTCCCACCACAAGCAAAATTGAATAGACAGGGTCGAACGCGCCTAATCTGTATCCTGGTATAAATTCCTTCATCCATTATTCCATGGTTACCTAATATCACTAAGAGACAGTTTATTCCAAAGTAGATAGTTGTGCATAACTCGTGTTTATAGTTCTCCTTGAGTTATAAGTGGACAATTATTGTGAAAAGTGAAAATGGAAAGTAGAAAGGCACAGAAATGTCATTTTTGATTATAATAATAATAATAATAATAATAATGATAAAAAAATTATCTGACCGACAGAGAACACACAAAAAACTTGTTGAAATAGAAAATAAATAGTAGTTTGAAAAACTGCAGAAACACGCTTTTATTATAATACGATTTATTGAACATTTTCAGTTATACTGAGGTTGGCAACTTAGTTGCCGGAATATGTTTCAGGCTTTACTAAACTTCGATGTGGTATTTTGAATATATTTTATATTTAATTGAATCGATGAAGTTCTATTTCGCCTATAGAAAAGCCTATAAAATTCATCCATTTTATATCCACCTTCTATTGTGATTCCATTTTTTAGCTTCTCCTAGAATAACATTTCTCAAATAAAATATAAAATTGACTTTCTGGCGAAATAGTACTCCCTCCATCAATTCAACCAAATACAAAATATATCCAGAATACCACATCAATATTTAGTAAAGCCTGAAACATATTTCGACAAATATGAGTTGCCTTACTCAGTATGACTGGAAATGTTTAATATATCGTATCACAATAAAAGCGTGTTTCTGCAGTTTTTCAAACCACTATTCATTTTCTGCTCCTCTTTAGTTTGCTTGAATTCCCAAAATTTTGACGAAAGGATCATAACCTCCGACCCCAAAAAGCTACAGATAAAAATTTTGAATGAAATCGTATCATAATTACAAAACTGGTCCGCCATATTGGATCCGCTATCTTGAGTTTCCTTATTTTGACAAATGAATCCTAATCTCCGACTTCGAAAACCTCCATCCTCCATCAGATACAAATTTTGAATAGAATCGGACCATAATTACAAAACTCGTCCGTCATCTTATATTTTCAAATTCTGACGAGAGAATCATAATCTACGTCCCCGAAAACCCTCAGATATCAATTCAAAATGGCGGACAGACGGAAAAAATATGGCGGACGAGTTATGTAATCATGATCCTATTCTATTCAAAATTTGTACCTGTGGTTTTCGGGATCGGAGATTTTTTTTCATCTCTTGGAGCGCACGAAAGGAATAATATAATTCTCGTGGAACATCGTGCGTACCTAGGGAGGAAAGGGAGAGGAGGTAGGTGTTGGATTTTTTTCGAACTTTTGTGGGGGTTTATGATTATTTCGTCAACGTTATTGGAAATTCAAGATATCTGAAAAGGAGTAGTAAATAACTAATAGTTTGAAAAACTGAAGGAACACGCTTTGATAGATATTCAAACTAAAAAGGAGTATAAAATAAAATAATACTCAGAATGTTGATGGATATTCAACTGAAAAAATATTTCTTAGAAATAATGTATACACTGTGTCCCAGATTGGTGCTGCATGTACATACATTCCTATTGCTATTTCGGTTATTATAAGAGCTACAAAGTCTTTCAGATGGGCAATGTTTCTCAGAATTCTATAACCAGAACTGCCATCAGATTTTTTCGATCGTTTTTAGTTTTTGAAATAATCGAGAAAAACCAATATGGTGCGTTTTTGACAATCCCCTGTATCTCCGGTATTTGAAAACTTTGAAAATTTCCATGAGAAAAAACAAAGTTATTTTCATTATCTCGAAAACGTAGGAAGATATATTTCATTGTTCTATTTTTTATTCAAAAGTTCTTGAAAAAGTGCTCAGGAAATGTCAAAGCCAGACTGCCTTAAGTTCTCAAATAACGGAGATACAGGGGATTGTCTAAAACGCACCATTTTGGTTTTTTGCAATTATTTCAAAAAACATGAAACGATCGAAAAAATCTGATGGCAATTCTGAGATAGTAATAGAATTCTGAGAAACATTGCTCATTCGATCGACTGTGTAGCTCTAATAATAACCGAAATAGCAATACATGCAGCACCCATTTGGGACACAGTGTATAAATTATATTATTCTAATGAATGGCTGTGGCTGAGTTTCTGAAATAATACAATTGTATCCAATATCTAAATGAATATAAATAGCGTTTCATTTCACCCTAAAATGCCCTATGCTCTCAATTTTATAACCGTACTGCGCCAAGCTGTTCTAAAAATAGATAAGATGAGATAAGTAAAATGAAAATAATGAAATGTTTGAGTATTCTGTGGCAGTGGCCAGCGGGCTAAATTACCACCTGAATACATGCTTGCAAATTCGCCGTGGAAGGGGTTGTGATGTCTCCGCCTACCGCCGTCACCCTCTCGCACCTCATTCCTCAGGTGATCCCCTAGCAGAATGAGTGAAATGGACTCTTAACGAGCCCTTTCATTTGATACCCATATTGTAGAAGTAGATTAAAAATGACCATTCCGCCATCTTGGATAGTCCGCCATATTCGATTTAGAATAACGTGACACACCTTATCGTGCATTGTCATCCAAACTGAACGTGTATACAAAATTTCAGCTCAATCGATTGAAGATTTCTACTTCAAAATTGAGTTCGAAGATTCCACCCGAACATACATACATACATACATCCATACAAACATACAATGCAAATTAAATAAAAGCTTTTAAAAAATAAAAAAAATGAAAGAATCGAGGAAATCAATAAAAATTGAATGAATGGACGGAATGAAATTACCGCAATGCCGCAATGAACAAGATGAAGCTTAAACATGAAAGGAATGCAATAAAGAAAGGACTGAAATAAAATGAGCAAATGAACAAAAAACAGAACTAAATAAACAAAATGAATGAGATGAACAAATGACACAAAATGGAGGAATAAACAAAAAAATTAAAAAGACCAACAAATGAACCAAATGAAATGGAAAAATTGACAAAATTAACAAAATAGGCGAAATGAACAAATGCAGGAAATTAATGTTATGAACAAAATGAATAAAATGAACGAAATAAACGGATGAATTGAAATGAAATGAGCACGTGAAGAAGATGAACAAAATTGATAAAATGAACAAAAAGAAAAATGAGAACAGGAACAAAAGGCGAATCAATGGAATCAACAAATGAAACGAAATTAAATGAACAAGATGAACAAAATTAATAAAATGAACAAAATTGATGAAACTAACAAAATGAATAAAATCAATGAAATGATCGAATTGGAATATAAGAATGGCAATAACAAAATGAATGAAATCAACGAAATGAATAAACGAAATGAAAAAAAACTAATGAAAAAAATAGAATGGGAGAAATGAACAGAATGAATGAGATAAACTAAATAAATGAACGAAATGAACGAAATTATTATTGAGAGGGATGAAATGGATTAAATCAAAGAAATCGACGATATGAACGGAATGGATGAACTGAACGTAATGAATAAATGAAACAGAATCTAATGACATAAACAAGATGAAAGATGAGAATGAGAGCAACAAAATGTATGAAATGAAGGACATGACCGGAATGAACGAATGAAAAAAAATGAAAAGGAGAACTAAGCAAGTTGAGAACAAAATTCATGAATTCAACAAAATGAATGGAACAAAATGAATGGAACAAAATGAATGGAATGAACAAAAAATGTGAATTAACAAGATGAGTGAAATGAATAAAATTAATGAAATGACAGGAACAAAATGAAGAAATGAACAGAAGAGAGTGAATGAACGAAATGAACAAAACGAACGGAATGAGATGGATTAAATCAACGAAACAAACGGTATGAACAAAATGAATTAAATGTACATAATGGACAAAAATACTGAAATGAACGAAATAAACAAAAGAGAAGAAACAAACGAAACCAAGTAAAACAAACAGAGAGAGAGAGAGAGAAAACCTCATGTCGACCCTCTTACCGTCTCGTTCCCGATGACGCACCCCTCCGTGGGCAAACTTTGCACGCACAGCACCACGTCCTTGTCGAGGCCCATGTAGAAGGCGGCGAGAATGATGCTCGTCATCGATCGGGTGTCGTCGGTGATGACCATCAACAGCACGCGGCTACCGTCCAAATCCCGCTTCCATTCCAGGACGTCCATTTCTAAAGAAATGTTTGCCTCATGACACTTTTTTTTTTTCTCTTTCTATTTCCAAGTTCAAGTTCAAGTTTATTTAATTCACTGGGGCAGAAGTCGAGGAGCAGCATTTTCCTAGTTCTTGGGATACTGGTTAGCAAAGATCTATTAGCCCATATTCCTTATAACCCTGATCAAATGAAATTTCGCACATTTCCAGTTTATATCTTCATGAAGAATTCATGGAAAATTTTTGAAATGATATTTGTTAAATCCTCGAAAATTGACTTCTCAAACGATACCGCACATGATACTGAAAATAAAACAATTTCACCTAGTTATCAAATTTTAAAGAAATATGACGTCATCTTCGACAGTAAAACAATATACAGGTCCCGAAATTAAATAGAAAGATTTCAGAAGGGAAAATTGCATACAAAAAAAAGTTGAGGGAAGAAATGCCCCTAGCCCCACCTATTTCCTATGCCCCTGATCAAAATTTCGGAAAATTCTCAACAAATTTTGATATTTCAAAAAAGCGGGTTTCGAAAATACTCACAAAAAGCCGCCAACTCGGGCCCTCTTTCAGTTGGCTATGACTATTACTATTTTTGTTCCTAGAATCTGTGGTTGAAATCTTTCCATGTAATATCGGAACACCCTGTATAAAATGTTATAAATTCACAATTTTCTTCTACAGACATTGAGATTCATTCTTGAATTATTGTAAAGTATACGCCAACAATCCCAAACGCTAAACACGGATAAACGAATGACATCGCGAATGGTGGGGATACTCCGCGGAATCATTGCCAGAGAATTGATATTTGTCATACATATACAGGGTGGCATTGAAATAAGTGCAAATATTTCAAATACTGAGGAAGCTCGACGTGTACTATCGAATGGCACTAATAAAAAAATTTTGGGATAGCAAATCTGTCGTCACCTCTGTTCAAATTTCCATGCGGTAGGCACAATCACGCGGAGTTCAGTCACTTAAATTGTTTTAAAGTGGAGTACTTGATTTTTTTCTCGTATTTTGTACAATTTTTGGGATGAAATTTGTCGTTAATTATGAGAATAATAAAAACATCTGATATCATGGGAATATTCCTCGTAGTGTATCATATTAATGCGGTAAATATGTGCACTTATTTCAAAAACACCTTTCAGGAAAAAATATCAATCGATATCCAAGTTTATTTATTGAGGAAAGTTATGGTTCATTTCTCAAAAAGGGTGATTATTTTGTGTATTGAAAATAATAGAAATAGACTTTGAGGAGCTTTTATTTGTAGAAATATTGCCTGTTGAGTGCATTCTGGGGTATCCTGTATATATTTTTTTCGTGGCAACACCAGAAATCGCGTGCACACAGGGAAAACGTTGACCTCCCAACCGATATATTGAATATCTAATGGATCGGGATTTCTTTAAATGTGTTTGTGCAACGAAATGTTCTTGTCGAGACCTATGTAGAAGGCGGCGAAGATGATGCTAGTCATCGATCGGGTGACAATGAAAATGTTGGGTTAGGACCTCAGACTAAATAAACAACGCTATCAATTCATAAATCATTGAAAAAAGTATACGCCAACAATTTTAAACGCCAAACACGGACAAATGAATAAAATCGCGAATGGTGGGGATAATAACATACATTTGCAAGTGAGTGCTCAGACCAAAGTTAGAAGAATTAATATTCTTTCAACTGTGCTCAGACCAAATAACAATACAACATCAGAATAGATTTATTCATTCATGTTTTTTTTTTTAATTTTCAGTGATAATGATACTTGCTAGCAAATATCTATCACCCAATATTCCTACCAACCCTGGTAATATGTTTTTCGCACATTTTCACTTATGTCTTTATAATCAATTCACTCAAAATACCCAACATGATTCTGAAAATAAAATGGTTTCAATAGTGCCTTAGTCACCCCATTACCGAATTTAAAGAATTATCATCATCTTCCACTGTCAAATATTTATAAGGTTATAAATTCCTAATTCCTTTCTAGTCTGAATTTCATCTTTTGGAAGATATGAAATCATGACTTCAAGGGCTTACTCATGTTTTTTTCTTATGGGTTCAAAAATATACTAATGTTTTTTTTCTAGGTTGTCAAAAATATTGAATTCAAAAATGTCCGTATCTTGAGATATCAGAAAAAAATGCTGCTTCAGGAGCGTACTCAATTTTGTTCCTTCAAAGAGGTCAAGAATGTTGAATAAAAATGTCCAGTTAAGATATTTGTAGGTAAAAAAATATTATGACTAAAGGGGTGTACTTATACTTTTTTCGAATTGAGAATTCAGAAAAATGTAGAAAGTTCGAATTTTTACGATATCTGAAAAAATTACGACTTCTGGGGCATATTACCAGAAGAGAAGAAAATAAAAATGGAATTTCGAATTATTCTCGACATCTGGAAACAAAAATTGCGACTTCAAAGTGATCTCAATCTCAAATTTATACCATATCTCAAGAAATGTTTCAATTCAGGAACGTAATCAAATTTTTTTCTGAAGAGGTCTGCGATTTAAAAAGATATTTGGAAAACTGAAAATGGTCGTTCTAATTTTTTTTAAGGTCGATCAAAAATGGAATATCGAATTTTTTCGATATAGGATAAAATTACGACCTCAAGGTAATGAAAAGAAAATTAAATTCCGATTTATCTGGTATCTAAAGGAATTTTCAACTTCAGGTATATAATCATAATTTTCCGGTCAGCAATAAAAAGGTCATTTCGGAATTTGACAATAGAAAAAATTGCGACCTCAAGGGCATTATCAATTTTTTTTTCATGGAGGATTAAAGATAAAAAATGTATTATTAAAAATTGCGACATGGGGGAGGCTGTACTTACCCATTTTTTTTCTGATATCAAAAATAGAGATTTCAAATTATATTCAATGTCTGAAAATCATCTTCAATGATATATTAAATTTTTTTTCGAGGAGGGTTATAAGAACAATAAATAATGAAATTTTAAAAATACCAATTGTTTTTCTAAGGGTCTCGAAAATAAAAACATGAAATCTCTGATCATTTCCGATACCTGAGACGTACTAATTTATTATTACTGCAGTGTATCAAAAATAAAAATTATGGAAATTCCATTACCGAAAGGGTCGCTATCGACGTCGATCACTTCGCCGTCCTCCCTCAGCGTCGGATTGTAGTAGCTCAAACCGTGCTTCTTGATCATCGGTATGGCGACGTCGCGACGCCACTGCCTCTCCGAATAGAACGACCCGCCGAGGAATATGTCCTTTTTCGTGGCGGCGTCGTTGTCCAAAGGCGTCGCGACGTCGCACGATCCGACGTCCGACAATCGGCCGTTGGTCGACGGCCGTGAGATGTTATTGTTGGTCGAGGTGCAATTGGGGGTGGTCGAACACTGCCTTCTGAAGGGCTGGGTGGCCCACACTGTAGAGGAAAATAACTTGATGTTTTCCTCTATGACGGGGAGAAAGTTTGAAATTTTATCTCTGTTGACCTTTTTATGGAATTGCTTCTCTCCCGTTTTATTTTTCTGTTCCCTTTGATCTTCATAATAGGGAATTTCACCATGATTTTTTGAATTTTTTTTCACGATTTAGAACACATACTGAGTGAATTCAGCATTTTTTCAATTTTCTTACGATTGCGGTTGACCCAGAAAAAAAATATAAAATTGAACCTAAATTCAAACGATAGCTCGAATGCGCGCGAAATATGGATGCCATTTCATTGGACGAATACCTTGGTGCGTCACACCGCGTCATACACTTGGTCTTGTCACCATTTGTCATTGAATTTGTCACTCAATAAAAACTATAATAGGTGCGTTCGATTATAACATATCTGTTAGCTCGATTCCATCTGTTAGCTCGGAAAGCGTTCGATAAATCAGATCTACTTCCTCTGTCTAATCTGCTCCGTGTTCGTTAATTGTCAGAGAGAGCTGAAAGATGTAATCTGTTTGCTCCGCCATGAGGAGCAGATCATTCAGATTTGTTCGGTTATTCGGTTGTCAGTTGTCAACGAATCAATGTCAACAACATGTTATTGAAATTATATCTCTTTTATGTCGAAAAATTGAAGACTCGATCAACTGGAAACGAAACACGAAACTGAATTTTGTAGAATCCTCCTTGCCCAGAATCGCCAGAATGACCGACGAATTTGCTGTAGGTAGCATATCAATTATATATCTGTAATATATGCGATCACAACTGCCCTGGGTCCACAGTTAATGACCGATCATATGAGACAGAATCATTCCTTCCCTAGTAATTTTCAAAATATAAACAACAAACATTCAATAGAACTTTGTGTTGCCCTGACATGTTTTTAAAAGTAATTAATCATTCCAGAATTACGTCATTTGACAGGTTGCTGAGGGGCAAACATTGTATTTTGTCAAGATTTGTCATATAAAACCAGAATTAGTAGTATCGTTTTCCTTGGAATCCGAGTTGAAACCAGAAATAATTTCATAATTTTGTTTGGTGAAACTGTTATTATATTGTGGATGTGGCAGGGACGGCCAGGGCAATGCTCATCAAAGGTAACCTAACAGATAGTTTGTGTGCCCCTCAAGAAACCATGTCAAAATCACGTGTTCTAGTATGATCAATTAGGTTATGTGAATTGTTTCTGTTTTCTGTCACTTCTGACAGCTGGCGCTCGCAATCTACTACCTCCTTGAGCGTTCGTTAAATATCTTTAGCTCTATCTGCTAGGTGATCACGTGACACCAAATCTGCATCTGTTCGCTCGGCTCCGATTTTGTTAAACCGAACGCACCTAATAGTGACAATGACGGCTAAATATCTAGAGTGTCGAACAGTCTAGATATTTCGCCGTCATTGATAGTGATATTCTTTCGTTCTGAATCTTCTGAACGTACTGACACATTTCACTCGAACTGAACTGAATCAGTTGACATACAATGAACGTCATTTGAAAGAACGCATATTAACTGATTCAGTTCAGTTCAAGTAAAATATTTCAGTTAATTCAGATTGAAAGAATATCACTAATATGACACTGATAGATCACTGAAAATGAAATAATGAACTATGAACTAGATTCCGAGGTTAATCTTTTTCTTCGTCTATGGGTTGCGTGCAAGAACTGTCAGATGACCGACGCTGGAGGCAAAACATTGAAACACAACGTCACTTTTCTTATTTGTTTACAAGTGATTGAAATAGTTTTCCACAATCGTTTTGGCATATGAATCGTATTTTTCCGCTATTCATCAATTCGCTCATGCCATCACATTGTGATGTTGTAAAATGCACAAAAACTGCAGCAGAAGATGAAGGAATCCGGATGGTACATTATGATTCAAAAGTAAGTACCTACTATAGTCACTCACATAGTTTTTATTTTTGAAATTTGGTTATTTCTCTGATTTCTCATCGGAATTCCTTCTGCAATAGGATCAGCTAATAGAAATATACCTGAAATTTCTAGAATAATGCAAGAAGATCGGATTCATGCAATCAATCGGTAGGACTGGTCTGACATGCTGACGATCGTGTGTGTTGTAGACATTTTCAATCTATTAGCAGCATTAGCTTGTATTGCAGAAGTGGCAGAAGGCAGAAGGAATTTCAATAAGGAATGACAACATTTCATAATGATAACTATGTGAGATTACTATTTACCTGAAAAATCATATTCCCTAGTCTCTTGCTGCATTTTTTGTGCATTGTACAACAGCACAATGCGAAGGCATGCTTGAATTAATGAATAACGCAAGAAACACGATTCGTATGCCAAAATATTGTGAAAAACTATTTCAATCCTTTGATTCCTCTGTAACCAAATAAAAAAGTGAGGTTGTGTTTCAATAATTCACAGAAGAATGAGGTTGTGTTTCAATATTTTGCCTCCAGGGTCGGTCATCGTGCACGCGACCTATAGTTTGTATTATAGCCATTTTTCTCTCGAGTCACAGATCACCCAACCACTCTGTGCTCGAGTTGTGTGTCTGTGGTTTCGTGCAACGAATCCTCTTTGGGTCGTCAGAGGGAGCCTCAAGAAAATACAAGTGACGTCACACCGCGAAAAATGGTCGTTTGGAACTCTCTCGATTTATAGCACTTTTGAAGTATAAATTAAACGGTTGTAAAGGAATCAATAGATGAGAGGAAGTGCTATTTGATATACTGAGTCATGTATGAGACCGTTCGCCATATAAAAAGGGCTATTTTCAATCATAGTGAAATTGCCTATTGTGTCAGTTATATTATTCATTTTATTATTTTGAATTGAATTTGGTTCTTTTTTGATATATAAATGTTTCTTTATAAAAGAGTTTCCAGAAGTTTCGATCGTATTATTCAAGAAAAATCTATTGAAACTAATTTATATCCTATATGTATATATCCTACAAGAAACGTGAACAATTTCCATATAGCTCAAACTAGAAATGTAAATGATTTTCTCGATTTTTTATCCCCTGTATTCCAGAATGTTTTTCAATTTCGCATATCTATACTTTTGTAGCGGCAACAATCTACCAGGGAACATTAAAAAAAATATATCAAGTGCGAAAAAACTGATATGATTCCAATAGAATTCAGCTAGCGTTGAGAGAGAAAAAATGTCATCCCCATATGTCCTTGTCTACAGTGTTCCAACATAAAATAAAGAAAATTTCATGTTGGCAACACTGGAAATGACAATAAATAAAGAATAAGAAGACCATTCTAACCTTTTTGAAAATTGAGGTTATTATGGTCGTCTTCTCCATTTTCCCCATTTCCAACGTTACCAACATAAACTTTCCATTATTTCACGTTGGAACACTGAAGACAAGTACGGATTGGGAAGACTAGAGTGAGTAGATTGAATAGACCTCCAAAAGGCTGCCGTTTTCGGATTGTCATTCGTGGTCAAGTCACTGAATAGCTAAAAATCTGCAGGGTATCTCCCATGCAGTAATGAATTTGCGCCTTCAAAGTGCTCACCTGGTGTTAGGTTTAGATATTTGATATTATCATTGCATCATCTGAATAATCTGAGACTTAAAAGTCTCCAAAAGACGGATTCTAATAGATACTGACGTTGTGAACAACTATTGTCGTCACTCTGATTATAAAGTCACTCTAGTCTTCCCCATCTGTCCTTGTCTTCAGTGTTCCAACATAAACTGATGAAAATTTTATGCAGGCAACACTGGAAATGACAAGAAATAGAAAAGAAAACCATTGTGATCTTTTTTCAAATTGAGGTTATTATGGTCTTCTTCTCAATGTTTTCCCATTTCCAATATTATCCACATGAAATTTACATTATTTCACATTGGAACACTGAAAACACCTCCAAAAGGCTGCCGTTTCCAGACTCATTCGTGGTCAAGTCACTGAATAGCTAAAAATCTGCAGTGTATCTCCCATGCAGTAATGAATTTGTACCTTCGAAGTGCCAACCTGATGCTAAATTCAGATATTTGATATTTTCATTGCATCATCTGAATAATCTGAGACTTTAAAGTCTCTAAAAGACGGATTCTAATAGATGCTGAGGTATAAAGTTTCATGTTTGATTGTTTTGTCACTAAATAGCAAAAAACAGAGACAAAGCAATGCCAAAGTGGAATAGAATGCGTAGAACTGAATGGTGAAAAGTGTACCACTATTGTCGTCACTGTATTTATAAAGGGAAGACATTTTTTTCTCTCTAATCGCTAGCTGAGTTGTTCTATTGAATAAGGTGAACAAATGATGAGCACAAATAAATTAAACTAAAGGTAGAAAATGAACACTTTCGAAAACAAAAACAACAAAAAATAAATGAAATAAATAAGGATGCATGAAACGAAAGGTTATTTCAGCACCCCTACCTATCGCCGAAGCAATCGGCCTGACGACGAACGACTTGAGCACGAAACGCGTCTTCAAAAGTGCGCACTTCCAATAGAACGTGGAAAAAAATAGGGTACCGTCAGAGGTGCACATGTCGCAGCCATCTTTGCTCGACAGTTCCGCCATCAGCGAGCAGAACCTCTCGAAGCTGACCGGCGTGTTGCGTACGCTCGAGCAGTTGTAGCTGAACGATCGGTCGGTCAGCTTCATGTACTCTTCGAGGGCGTGGTGCAGCTTCATTTGCCCTCCATAGGAGTCGTAGATTTCCCTCAGCCGTCTGCAAATACCGAATAACCTCGAGATTCTTGCCGACATTATTTTACTAATATTTTTCTCTTTCCATAGTTTTCAATTTTTTTTCAAACAGGGTGTATCTAAGTAACACCGGTAAAATTCAAGGGGTGATTCCTTGTGATATTTTAGGAAATAGTTCAAATAGACATGTGTCCGAACTTGCTTCGTTTTCGATATATTAATATTAATATTTCCATGAATAAAAATCTTTTTTCTATTCATTTCTCATTTGTCTTTTCATCGATTTCAATAAAACGTTGTAGTTTTGTTAATAGTGATATGGAGCTTCTTCTAGTGCAATTAGATTCGAAATAATTTTTCCAGTGGCGTCACAGTAGGTAAATTTATCGATATTAATGGTGAATGACATTGTACAGGGTGAATCACCATAAATGTCCCCTCCTCTAGCTCACTTATTTTTGAACCGATTTGAAAGTTTTAAAGATCCTCGGTGTGATTTTTGTATCCAGCTTAGTTTTTGAGGAACCAGTAAAAATTTGACTCCAAATTTTAATGTAGGTGTTTTCAAGACTTCCATTGAGATAACTCAATAACCCCAATTGGATTCATTTTGAAATTTTGGGGCTTTCTCAATCTCCACCCATACTGAATTTTGGCACCATGAAAGCTTATACAGGGGGGTTATAAATAAAAACAATTAATACTTCCAACTTCAACATCCTGTATCTCAAAAACGGAGTAAGTTAGGACACATGTTTATATCAACTTTATTTGCTAAAATGTCACAAGGAAACACCCCCTGGATTCTTAGATATACCCTGTATAATCGGTTTTCTGTGAATATCGTGAAAATTCTCTTTCGGATCAAAATGTGACATTTCCGAAAGTTTCAACGCCTACCTCGTCGTTTTAGTGTTACTTTCAATATTGCATGAAATTCAGGAACTTCTACTTTTTGCTCATAAGGTTTATGTCACTGTCAATACCCACGAGAGTGTTTTGTTTCCCAAAGAAGACTTGATAAAATATGGTTATCTTTTCAAAACAGTTATTTATGTACCAACGACGAAAAATTGTCTATTATAGTCGATTCTGCAAATTGATAGCCGAGGCCTTAGCCGAGGCTTGCAATCAGGCGAGACAACAGGGTTGCCAGTTCGATTTTTATTTCATCAGTAAATATCTTGTCGAAAATTCATATTTATTTTATGCTATATGAATTCCAAGAAAGTATAATGAAATAAACATATATAACGTCAAAACATTATGTACTTTCTGTAAACAGAAAAGTAACCTATTTCCAACAATATGGAAACAATAACAAAACAAACATTCTCATAAAAAAGTAATCATATTTCTAATTCTCAATTCAAAAATACTCACATACAGGGTGTTTCATAATTGAATGCTGATCCTAAAGAGCCATGACCCTTGGATGATTTTAAGGAGAGAAGTTCATATCAACATAATGTCCTGAACCTCTTAGTTTTTGAGCTACAGGGTGTTGAAATCAGAAGCGTACAGCGTTTTTTTAAACAAAACATTCAATATCAGGTCATCGAGGACATCACTGGTAAAAGTAAAAGTTTGATTTTCGTCCCAAAACGAAATGTGTTTCCACTTATAGTGGGTGTCTACTGAATTACCAAAAACAATATCCAAGAACTGAAGGAACAAAATTCTTTGGTTTTTATTTTTTTACGCGAAAACGGTACGTTGTATGGAAGTAAGTCTAGGAACCAAATTTGCTTCAAAATGAATAAGAATTGAAAAACAAATCTGGTTCTCAGAAAAATCAGTGGCGTACTATTTTTTTCTTCAAAAATTGACAGTTCAAACCCCGTACGGACGCCACTGGTGAGAATTTTTAAATATCTTTCACTTAAAAAAAATGCTCCCTAATAATGAGAAGGTGTATACAAAATATCATAACAATATCTGAGAGTGATTAAAAATTATGATGAAAAACTCATTTTTTTCTTGAAATTTCATCACCCTGTAGCTCAATAACTAAGAGGTTTAGGACATGTTGATATGAACTTTTCTCTTTGAAATCATCCAAGGATTATCGCCCTTAAGGATCAGCATTCAATTATGAAACACCCTGTATATCAGAAAATACAGTTGTATAGGTACTTATAAGATTTGATTTTATAAAAAACAGGAATGATTAGGAAAAATGAACAACAAAAATACAAAAAATATAAGAAAAATCAAATATAAGAAACAAAATGTTATAACAGAGGTATATAAAAAATTGAAATTGATCTCAATCAAATGAACTAGTGTTCTTTTTTGGTTTATACATATCATTAATACCTATATGAACATTTATTGATTATTTTGTAAAATTAATTCAAACAGAGCGTGCCGAAATATCATGCAATTTATATGTTCATGTGATTAACTTGAGATGGATAATGATATAGGTAATTATAATAATAAATAAGTGTCAAAAATATTTTTCAGTAGGTTATGAAATGTTTCAGTAGATCAATATGCAAATCAGGAGACCTACTGAAAATTCAGTAGAACTGGCAACCCTGCAGCAGACGACCTGCCTGCGGACGAAAAGTACGTGCCTTCGGAAATAATCGGTTTTTCGTTCGGAAATAAGCACGTGAAATGTGATTTTTTGTAGGGGTCGACGAAAAAGTCCTTTTTTTGGTACTTGGCGGAAATTGGTGGCCATTTTAGAAATAATAGTTGAATCCAGAAATTTAATTCTGCCAATTTGCCTCATCTATCAAACTAGTTACGAAAACTGCGCGGTAGTATAATTTTATGACATCACCTGAGGACCATAGATTTTTTTAAGTCCAATCATGGCCACCTAGATGGAATAAAAGTGACCATAAAAAATAAGTAGGCGTAAGAAGTTTTTGAAATTTCACATTCTGATTCAGAATTGTCTCAGGAATCAGAAAATACAGGGTGTTACATTAAAAAATTCAAATCCAGAGCCATTTTCGGTAAAACCGGAAGTGACGGGAGTTGAAAATATATAAAAACTTTCCTCTTCACATACCATCCAACTATACCAAATTTCATTTTGATATACCTGACATTTTAAAAGTTATGACTTGTCCAAGAGTCGTTGACGTTGGTTCACTCAAATCAAGCTGTCACTCTGCCATTTTTCATAAAATTTCAAAAAATAAAAAAAATATGCAATCCCTTGAAGAACACAACAAACTAGTACAACGCTATATTATTCGTCACTCAATTCCGCTTTTTCTTTCAATATTAACGATGTAGTCCAATGATTTACTGTATAATTTTTTTCTGTGGGTTCAAAATTAAAAGTTTTCATACAGAAAGTTTTGATACATTCAATTTTCAACTTGACTTAAGAGTATCTCTCAAAACTGAGGAATTGAATAGCTGCACAAATCAGCATTACTAATTCTTGAGGATATTTAATTGATAGGTACAAAATTAATAATGAGCTGTCTGAAAAATTATCAGCACCTCAAATTTTCAACTATTTGTCAGAGATTTACCAAACTTGGAAAAGAATAGTGGAATAACTTGGCAGACAGTTTGATTCTGTTGTAATTCTAGTAATATAATAATAATAATAATAATTTCCTATATTGAACCATGGAAAATTCCATTTTCATAGAGGTTCTTACTCTGAAAAAAACATGTCATGTAAAAAAAACAAGAATAGCTGAAAATATATACAGGGTACATTTTGTCAGGTACATTGGTTACAGTGTAGTATTAAAAAAAGCCTAATTATATCACAGAATTTGTTTTCTGAATGACAAAAATTTAGTTTTCTCAAGAGGTGACCAATTTTTCAAAATTTTCAGGAGATATACTATATTTCTGTATTTTTAAATATGCATTTCTCAGAAAATTGCTAGTTCTTTACTGATACCATTCCCAAGTGATAATGTGCTGAAACTTGGCTGAGGCTTTAGGCCTGTTCATCTGATCTAATTTTTAAACAATTTATTATTGAAGGATTCCAAATTTCACTGACAAATTCAAAATTACATTGATCATACCTGTTAAATATCTACCTATCTATTGCAATCATTAATAATTACTAATATTATCAGTCAACAATATAAATCAATAGTCAATTGCTGACATAATGAACTTTGTGAGTTATTCTAATATTGGTAAAATAATTCATCAATAGCCAACTAGTCAATTTCAAACTATGAAATTGCTTTTACTTTCATGAGACACAACTAACCTGAGTTTATACCTGATTTGATCCTCTGCACTGGTGCCATTGTTAGAAGAATTCCTCAATATCTTTGCTGTACATTGCAAAGCAGTTGAAAGGCTACTGTGAATCTTCACACCTTTACTTTTAACCAGACCCAGCAAAGTCCTCTGGCCATCCACCAAATCCCTATATTCCCTGAAAAACCAACATCAAACCAACCAAACAAAAACCACAAACTGAACTAATTTCATACCTATCAGTGATGACTTCTCCCATTATAGTTTGGCCCCTTTCATATGGTTGAGCAACAACCACAACACATCTTCCAGAAGCTACCAAATAGGCAACTTCTATCATTCCCACTGTGCTCCTAGTCTGACTATCAATCACAAATAATAAGATGGAAGCTGCCTGTTTGGCATCATACTCTTGCGCCACCAATTCAGGTTCCCACTTTGAAACTTGCTAGAGAAATGAGCAGTGTGAAGACAAAAGTTCAAGAAGTATAAATAAATGGTGACTTACAGGATTGTAGAAGCTGATCCCGTGTTTTTGCAGTTCGGGAATGGCTGTGTCTGCTCGCCACGTCGTCGGATTACAGGAGCCCCCCAAAAACACGTCACACTTGCTGTTGGGACATTCTGAAAGAACATTCGGTATAGTACCTTGAAGCGATCGCCGGACTTTCTACTACTAACTAATGTTTCTCTTTGTTTTGGCATTGGCACTGGGAGCACTTTTTCTTTCCTGTTTGGGTGTCGGAGTTTGCATTTCCTTGACAAAAACGCAAAACCGCCGGAAAGTAAGGTATCTGGTGGCCCCATTTTTTTTACCACCCTGCTGCCTTGCACATTGAAGCATTTTCGATGGAGGAAAAAATGGATTTCTCAAAGAACATCGTCCGCATTCGATTACTCAATACATTTTTGACAAAAATACCGAATTCGTCCCACTGTTTTTTCTCTAAAAACGGCGAGCGATTTTGGGTTAGAAAAGAAACAATCGATCTTCGTTTGTTTACAGTTTGTTCTCTCTTGCTCTTTCTCTCGATCAATCTTTCTCTGTTTCTGTCATGACACTCTTGACTCTTGACGCAGGTAAGAGAAAGTAGCAGAGCCGGGTTCAGGAAATTTCGAAAATGACACTATACAGGATGATACAGTTATGATGACTAATAATCAAGGAATCGATAGGGCTTAATGAAGGATCGTCATCACACTCTACTAACAAAAAATGCTCTAGAACGTTTCGTTAGTGAGATGTAGGGCGCTGATATCCAATTTTTCAATGAAGACCTTAAATATTTCAATAATTTCGAGACATACGAGTCTGAGACATTTTGTAGATTCAGCAAGGTGATTGTTATATTAATCGGAATAGAGGGTGAAATATATTTTGAGTACTGTCGATAACCAAATCGATAGAACTTTTTTTTAATGCGGCACTGAAAAGATTTCAATACATCCTTAAATTCTTGCGTATAACACCTATATACTTAATGTTTTGCCCTCCTGACATTTCGATTGGGTTGCAAGATATACGATATAGTTCAATTCGATGCCATATTTGAAATGCTCATTTGATGCCGTTTGGAATTATTGGATTCTTTATTATTTCTTTTTATTCATGAAAATGATACCAACATCAAACCAACCAAACAAAAACCACAAACAGAACTCATATCATACCTATCAGTGATGACTTCTCCCATTATAGTTTGGCCCCTTTCATATGGCTGAGCAACAACCACAACACACCTTCTGTCATGACACTCTTGACTCTTGACGCAGGTAAGAGAAAGTAGCAGAGCCGGGTTCAGGAAATTTCAAAAATGGCACTATACAGGATGATACAGTTATGATGACTAATAATCAAGGAATCGATAGGGCTTAATGAAGGATCGTCATCACACTCTACTAACAAAAAATGCTCTAGAACGTTTCTTTAGTGAGATGTAGGGCGCTGATATCCAATTTTTCAATGAAGACCTTAAATATTTCAATAATTTCGAGACATACGAGTCTGAGACATTTTGTAGATTCAGCAAGGTGATTGTTATATTAATCGGAATAGAGGGTGAAATATATTTTGAGTACTGTCGATAACCAAATCGATAGAACTTTTTTTTAATGCGGCACTGAAAAGATTTCAATACATCCTTAAATTCTTGCGTATAACACCTACTTAATGTTTTGCCCTCCTGGTAGCTCTTGACATTTCGATTGGGTTGCAAGATATACGATATAGTTCAATTCGATGCCATATTTGAAATGCTCATTCGATGCCGTTTGGAATTATCGGATTCTTTATATTTCTTTTTATTCATGAAAATGATATTCAAAATTTTGTGGAGGTATTATTTTTTTAGAGAAATATCCAATGCTATGAACAATTTTCTGAGAAAAATTCAAAATACTTCGACTGATATACCAATTATTATATCCACTTGCCATTGAATGTTAATAGATTCTTATATATTATGTAACACTTGTTACATATATACTATTATGTAACAAGTGTTATAAACGTCCATTTAGTAACGAGTGTCTAGAAGAGTTTATAAACGCGTTACATACTATGCTTTTTCTACGAACTCCGAAAATGACATTAACATATACCTGCAATTCCTCCTAACCTACAAAATAATTCGAAAGGAATGGGAATTGAGATTTCACGTTCATTGTCATGCTTAGCGCAGAATAAATAAATTGTTCTCAAAGATGGATGCTTCATTTTTACACTTCTTGGAGATATGCAAGTACCAGAACATTCTCTTCGATTTCACTTTCGTGAACAAACGAATATATTGTCTGAATAATTCTGATACAAAATTTGAAAATAACAGTTGTCACTTAATACAATTGACAGGCCAGACATGTCTCAAATTACTGAAGCTGTGATCAATGAACTGCGTTGCCATGGTAATGTGTTTAAGAAATCGTGTTGCCATGGTAACGTGTTTAATATTTTGAATAAATCACAGATCGACAATCGGTGATTAATCGATCATTTAGCGTGGTACATATCCGTACGCTGAATGCCATTTTAGTTATGTGAGTAGAAAGAAACATAATACGTGATTATTTTACGAAAGTAGTTTTCTTACCTTGTGATTTGGGCGGAAACAATTGCATATCATTGAAGAGGGCCTGAACAGAATCATCTGGTATCCGAAAAGTATCTGATGTCAGACGTACACAAAACGGTGCATTGTATACCCCCCTGCAAAAAAAAGAAAGTTTTAATTCTCTAAATTTTTTGAGATCTTCTTCTCTTCTAGATTCTCAATTCAATATTTGTAATGCCTAATACACTATGTATAATACTTGTAGAATTATGAGAGACACTTTCTCTAAGTTGAAAATACTCATAGAACGTTATACAATACTCTTAGATTGTTGTGTAATACCTATAACGTGCTGTGTAATACTCATAGTGCTATGTAATATATTCATAATACTCACTGAGTGCTATATAATCTACATACCTACATAATAACCTTGATTATATACACTAGTGTGAATACTCAAAGATATTACGCACACTGGTGGAAAGCATTTTCAATGAGAATATAACAATAAAAAGGATACCTACTTGACATATACAGGCTGTTTGGACCTTAGAGGCCACGAGTGGTTGTGCTGCTGAACCAATTTCATAATGCAATACCGAATAAATCATATCAAGGGAACCTCTCGGAATCAACGCGAATTTCGAAACATAATGATGTGTTTTGTGTTCAGTAGAGATATTTTCATACGTTATCTTCAAAGGGAGATTATAGATAATGAGCCTGAATATAAAACAATCGATAAATGAACGAATTCATCTGCTTTTCTTTTATCGAAATGTTTGTCCAGTGAGCAAGTATGGTGGCGTCAGAGCATGTAGACCTAGTAAATTGTCGTTTCTTTGTCGTCTGCATTTCAGTCACGTTTTTCAAAAACAAGGTTATTTTTATTGAGGAAATTCGATCAATGTTTATTTAGTACTACCGCATACAATTACAATATTGCGGCATGGCATAACAATAGGTTCAAAAAACTTCAGCTCAACACAGAATAAGTTTCCCTAAACACAATGAGAGGATAATTGATTGGTTCACATCCTAGTGTCCAATGTATATCGAGTTAGCAATTTATATTGATGCAGGATGAAGCCCGACCACACACCGCAGCAATAGTGCGAAACTTCTTAGAAGCTACTGGTATTACCACATCACAATGGCCTGCGAGAAGCCCCGATATGAATCCTATAGAATATTTGTGGGATGAATTAGGGAGAAGGGTACGTTCTCGCGAGAGGTCTCCGGAAAGTCTCGTAGAAATGGCAGATGCATTAGTGGAAGAATGAGATCGTATACCAATGGAAACGATAAGCAACTCAATTTCCAGTATGCCTCGTAGATTAGAAGTTCTTAGAGTTGCTAGAGGAGGCTATACACGATATTAAGCAGTCATCCCAATTCATAATATTGTGTTTAATAATAATGTTTTTTAAAATTATTGGTATCAGTTTATTTCATTAGAAAATTGTTTCTCGATAAATTCAGAAAGTTGGTAATCTGCAAAGATTCAGCAAAAAAAGCTGTAATTCGGAAATAAATCAATGAATAAACAAACAAAATGCTCGCAAAAGAAGCCTCTTTCGTATAGGGTGCAAGCACTTTCTATGCCATTACTCAATTAACACACAGGGTGTGTCAAAAATTAAGAATGAATCATGGCTCGAGTTATTCCACCACCATCAAGGAGGCTTTGATATAAGTTTCACCTCTTTATGTTTTTTTTAAAGACAACTGCATTACCTACCAACAAATAATAAAAAAAATCGGCCTACTATTTTTTGTTCTTTCTTTAAGAAGATAGGTCAAATATCAAGTGCGTCACTTTTTTTGGAACTGAGTGTATAATGGCAAAAACATCTTTTGGTCAAAGCTTCCCAACAGCGTCTTCGATTTGTCTTATTTTTTCATGAAATAATCTGCTATTACTATCTAATCGACTTGACTTACTCAGAATCAAGAAAATCCAGGACCGCTCTTGAAATATTTTGCTAGATCAATTTATATCAAAAAGTTCATCCTGCATATGGTTTTTGTGTAAACTGTGTGTGAAATTTTTCTCACACTTTCACAAAATTTTTCAAAGAACGATACATTTTTAGACAAACACGAAATTTTGGCAACAAATTCATTCCATTGAAAATTATTAGTTCGCAACGCATAAATTTTACGAATGAAAGTAAGACCACCATAGAACCGGTGGCGTATTTAAAAATGAATTTTTGACCAAAATGTGATATGTGACTGAATTGATTCATCGATAAGTGACACAAAAAATTATTTTACATAAAAAATATGTTTCTCTGTTATATGCTACTCATTGTGAATAGCCCTCATTTAGGTAAAATAAAAAAAACAATTTTAGTTTCAATTTTTTCGAAAAAATTACATTTGACATGAAGGTTGCACTTATTTCGACCATTTGAAATTGAATATGTAAAAATATACAGGGTGTTCTATTTGAAAAAACGGCCATATTGGATTGTAATGTGATCAAATCCTAAATGGTTGCTTATAAGACTGTAGCAAATTTCAGGTTACGAATGCAGAAGTATTACAGGGGTGGCCCGATACCCTGTGTCACCCAGTATATCCAATTTTGAGAACATATTATATTATATTATTCATAACATTTATTGAAAAATAGATATCTATTTATCATTATCTATAAAATTAATTGGAATTGAATTGTTGAATATATGTTCAATGGAAATATTTGACTCACCGAAAAAAAAATCATACTGACCTATGATTTTTGGTCAAAACATCGTTTCGAACACTAGTTGTTGATACAAATTAGGTAGGTATTCCAATATTTCACACTAAATTAGTTGTTTTCTGTTAGATATGTTAACATCAATGATTTTGAGTGCTTTTGAATGACATATTACACACGCCATTATTTTAAATGATATTCTTCCTTCTTTACACTAAATATGGATAAATCACAAGTGAATCATAATTCTAGTTGACTCAATAATAGAAAAAAATGTGTCTTACATTGTGATATATATAAATTGTCCAATGTTGAAAAAAGAAGGGTAAATTGTTTTAAATGCAATCCAGAAGACAGGCGGAAAAGAAGGTGAAATTTGTAACTTTATAGTGAAACATCTTGATAAATAATGATTTGTTCACATTTTCATTATCAAATTCGTGTTTTTCAGACAAAAATACGTAAGTACCAAAAGAATTTTCGAAAAAAAAACCATCGCATGCTAAATGCAGTTTTACCCAAAACAGTACCATAAAACTTAGTCTTTGACATCAAAATAGTAGGTTATTAAAGGTTAATTAATAATGGATCTAGGAACGCCAAAATTGTAAACTTACAAGTATACCAACACCAAAATTTGTGTAACATACTTTTTCTGCACCATAATTTTCACCCCCATGTTCAGCAAATGGAAAACAATACGCGGACACGGAATCAAAATGCGACTACAACAGAACTAAACACCACAACTCATCGTCACAACGATTCAACAACAACTAACTATAGTGACTACATCAAACGAAAACAAAACCATTCCACCAGCATGTCAGTATTCATTTTATCTTCGTTTTGACTGAAAGGTTACCGCCGCAAAATGATAATTATTTATGAGATGAAAGTTTCGCACAACCCGCAGCTATATCAGATTACCCACTACCCAGTGACGTAGCAAATGGGGTATGAGGGTTGGGAATTGAAATTACCACTTAAAAATTTTCAATAACTTCAAGAACCATCACTCTGTGTCTTCAAAATGGGTGATATACCCGAAGCGTATAGTTGTCGCAGTTGTCAGCGGACCGAGAGCGGCTGATGAGGCCTGGTGGGCCGAAACAGTAACGTTGCTGTTTCGTTCCTGCTGACAATTAAGGTAACTCTGTTCATCCTGGATCTCTTAGTTATGAGATCTAGTTCAATGAACCATTACCTAAAATCTATGAGAGAAATATTTTTTCTCACGGCACTTTAACAACACCACATACATTTCCATGGAGAATCAACAAAAAACGACCAAAACTTGGCTGCTGTTCAGCTTTGAATAGTTGTCACAACTGTCAGAAGAAGTTGTGTAAATTCTTTAAGGTAGTTCTCATTAGTGCTTTTGATAGAAATCGCATTCTCCACCAAATATTTTTCCAACAATTCATAATAAATAATATGATGTATATACCGAGATGTGACGATTTTGATAAATACACCGCCAGAGACAGAGATAATGGAAGAAGCTGCGAAAGTTGGATTTGTTTCCGGAAATTTCAAGAAAAAAGTATGAATTGGCATATTGGTACGAAAAATTTATGGAATCTGAAAAAATACGGAAATAAAATCTTTTTCGGGAAGTGTACTTTTTTGAAATACTTTGAGGAAGATACAGGGCGTTGAAGTTGACTTTTTATTTTAGTTTTTTGCCAATAATTTCACTGTATATTCATCAATTGTTATCAAAATTGGCACAGAGGCATACTTTCATACAGGGAATATTATTCTATGAACTATTCTACATTTTGATACAGAGGGCGCCACGAAAATGATTCTTGATGATGAAATCGTCTGGTTACTTTTTTTGACGAAACTTTTGAGTGATTTTGATTGAAAAATATGACCTAAACATCATTTCTACGTGATATTGGTACTCTTGTTTGAACACGATATTTTCATCTGTTTTCGAGAAAAACGCTATTGAACAGTTCAGAGTCTCAGAAGTTAATTACAAATATTATTTCATTCATGAAGAGTGTGCTTTGAACTGTCAGATAATGTTGCTGGTAATGGCATTTCTTGTCAGAGAATGAATTTTGGTGCGAGTTTATAGTCCAAATTTTTTCGATCGAAATGCCTCGTCACAATCATTTTGTGAATGAATAAATGCGGGATGCAACCAGAAGGTATGAATTGTAATATATCTAATATCTAGACAGAAAGCAACCAAATCACAAAATTTCTTCAAATATATTCCATATACAGTGAAATTATTAGCAAAAAACGACAAAAAACGAAGAAAATCAACTATAACGCCCTGTATCTCTTTTCACAGCAATATTTTATCAAGGCATGTTTGGTCCAATCGCCATATTTTGGTCCTAACTATCCGCCCTTAGCCTATGTCCCAATAGTTATGACTCACCCTGTATAATTATTGATGCCGCCAATAATAAGGAATTT